GAGAGAGAGAGAGAGAGAGAGAGAGAGAGAGAGAGAGAGAGCGCCATCGAGGTCCCGTGTCGGACGCAGCCTGGACCGCTACGGCTCGGATCCATTAGCCGCCAGGGCAACGCCAGGGCGCTACGGGGCATCAGGAAGTTGGCGTCATCAGTGAAGCTCTTCCGGCTTTACCTCTTCTGCTTCCCCCTCCTCCCCTCCCTCCCGCACTCGTCCTAACCCCTATGCGCCCCCCTCCCCCTCCTCCTCGCTGCTTCGCCTTGCCAGAAATCATATAAAACAAAAAGAGAAAGAGAGTAAAGGGAGAGACACGGAGAGAGTTTGGGGCTCCACATTGCGCGCGCCAAGGCGAAAGATGAATACATGCCTTGCCGCCACCCCCGCCACGCCACGCCATGGGTGGTGGTGGTGCCTCCGATGAAGACGAAACTAAACTTGTTCGGGGGCTGGCTGGCTCGGCCTGGTCCTGGTGGTTGGTCGTGGAGCTGCAGGGGCGTGCGGTGGGGGAGGGCGGGAGGCAGCGAAGGGAAACTAACTTGAGAATGTTTGAAATTCTGGACGGAATTAAGAGCCGGGCTATGAGGGGAGGTTGAGAGGGGGCGGGTGGAGGGAGGGCGTGGAGGTGGAGGCAGCGCGACACGCTAACAAGTTTACTTGTCACCGGCGGCGGGCCGGTCCATTTTATGGCCGCTTAACAACGTGCCGCGGGCACATGTGTAGGGTGTGGGGGGCGCGGGGCGCCCCATGGCATGGCCCGCAACGCCGGCCTGAGGGCGCGCCATCTAATCGCGTTCTTTGCGACTGTTTCGGCAGCTGCGGAGCGGTGGTGGCCGGTGAGGGGTAGGAGGGAGGAACGAGGAGAGGGGGGTAGCAGCGGCTCCCGGAAGATCTCGCCTTCTGGAGCTCCTGGACGCGGGCGGACGGACGGGAAGAAGCTGGTGATGACGGGGTGTTTTACGATCTCGGGGAGGGTCGGCGGGCGGTCGGGCGGGCGGGGGGTTGGTGGTGGTGGTGGTGGGCGTTGGGCCGGGAGGTGAGTGGTGGTGGGGTGAGAGTGAGACGGATGGACGAGCCGCGCCGCCAACCGACCGACCGACTGAAAGACAGACGGGCGGCGTCCGAGACAAGATTACTGACCGGCGGGGGCGGCGGGGCCGGCGGGGGCGTCGGCTGGGCTGGCGGGGACCTATAACGAACAGATTGAGTAGGAGGCGGCCGAGGCCGTGGCCGCGCATAAACGCCTGGGCTGGGCTGGGCTGGGCGGCGGGGACTGGGCCGAGGCCGGGAGGCGCGCCGGCCGGGCCGACGGAATGAAAATGAAAGGAAATCATTTGTGATTCATTGCGGCGAGCCAGTCGGCCGGGCTGCCTTCGGGGACGCCCGAGGCCCGCCCCCTCCTCGTGCCCGCCCCCGCATCTCTCCCCGGGTGGCTCCTTTCGTCTTCCCCCTCACCATTATTTCCTACCCCCGGATTGTTTGATCAGTCTAGGCTGTTGCTGCTGCTGCAGCCGGGCTGCCGTATGACGGTGTAAGGGGCTGCCGCTGGCGGGGGTGTGGCGGGCGGCTGGGCCGGGGATCAGGCTGGACTAATGCGGCTGGATTGCGAGCGGCGAGGCCGGGCCGGGGCCGCCAATGGGATTGGGGCCTCGTCATGTTTGATGAGGCCGTGGCCGTAGCCCGCCAGCGCCGCTCACCCCTCTCCTGGCCCCCCGCGCCCCTGGCCTCAGCACTTCTCGTGCCGTGGGAATCATGTCTCAGGGATCGGTGTACTCTCCTCTAACCTCTAAGGGTGCCCCCACACTAGACGCATTTGGCGTGTCCGCCCCCGCCTGGATGACCGGACTTTTCGCTATCGACCAGTTGGCGAAGGCTGACATATGTCCGGGCGGACAGAGGGAAATAGCGGACGCGGACATGCCAAAAGCGTTCAGTGTGGGGGCACCTTAACCTTAACTCACTTGGTGTCAAGGTGCAAATGTGGTTCGTTCGGAAGACGCCGCCAAGATTCCGCAGAAAACAGCAGCGACGAGGCCCCGGTCGCAGGGTCGTGTCTGGCACACAACTCGGGATTCACCAGAAAACGAGACGTAGGTAAGTGAAGGTCAAAACCAAAATATTCTTAGTTTCACAATCGCGCAACAGAAACGTGCTGCCCTAGAGCGCGCCACCTCCTGCGCCCGAGAGTCGCCTCCCTTCAGTTCAACATAACATGGCCCTGCCTGGCCCGCCGTCGACGCTGAATAATCTGTTCGTTTATCATAGTTTTTCGTGTGGAACAGTTCGTTGTCAGCAGACGCCGCGACGCGATTATTATCTGCTAAAAGTTGTGCTTCATGTTCTATACAAGACTGATGTGTTTTTCGATAGCCAATGGTTTAAACTGCTGGAAAAATGCTGGGTGTTGAGGTTAAGGAACTCAGTGCCGTGGATTACTGTTCCCAACAACCTGCGTTGCTGCTCAGGTAAGTCATTGCCTGCAGTCCAATGCTGCTGAATATGCAAACACCTAGGAAACACTACACACATTGTGCTTGATACTCGCGCCCCCGACAGTCTCATGTAGATTTTGGTAAAAGTGTTAGCATTGAAGGCAGCATATCTTGTATTTACATTCGTTTGTAATCACCTGTGGGTGAGAGATCTGTAAAACACACAGCCTAGACTGATGCAATGTGTGAGATTTTTTGGAGACTTATAACAACAGAGCATATAGTTAACCAGTCAATTTTAATTGTCACGAAGTATTCATTACCATCCTAGTGTGACCAAATTTTACTTTGCTCACTTATAGAGGAGCTTACTCCTCGCAATTTATTCTGAGCCTACACTTATTTGCTCAGGTGTGAGTGAGGTTATTGGTTCACCTACTGCTCTGCAAATAGTTATTAGCTCACCTGCTAGTGTGCAAGTGGTTGTTTGCTCACAATCTCATGGGAGCAACATTTGTTCTCTTGGATTTCCAGCGTAGTGAGTTGTACCATAATACATGATGGGTGATTTACATTTGTGCCATGTTACCTGTGGAACACAGTGTGTTACTCTGGCGATGAGGGTTGTTGCTTAAGTATCGGGACCCAGCCGAGAGGGGTGCTCAGACCTGCTCAGACTCACCCTCGCGGCGGGAAAAAGGCATACGGGGAACGACGAGTTCGATAGAGAGAAAAGGGGGAAAAAATATGAAGCGTCTGGATTTGGCAGGCAGTAGGGGGTGAAAGGTAGGTAGGGAAGGAGGATTCTGAAGATGCGAGAAAGCCTTTGATTACGAGCTCTCCAAGGACGGCTTGGGGATGAAAGAGAAGGAGAGCGGGCGGACAAAATGCGACAATGTGCGGCGTAACAGGCTGAGCAGGCGCGCTCGTGACAGATGATCTGCAGAGTGGGTGAGAGAAAGGAAAGAGGGAAAGGGAGGGGGGGAGAAAGGGAGGTATAAACAATACGCTCCCTTTTATTGTTTGCGATCTTTCTTCTTCCACACTATTACTGAAACAAGAAAGGTCGTTTTAAGGGACGGGGGGAGACGCAGACGACGCATGGTGGATTGGAACACTGTTGCACGGTGGTGGGGAGGCGCAGCCATCTCTACTGCCGCCAGCGCGACTCACGTCCTGGGCATCTGCCGCACTGGGGGTAGTAAAATCGGGCTGATTTTGCCCGATTGCCAGAGGGAGAAGTGTGCGAATCTGGCTTTGTCCTCCTTTTCTCTTTCCCTCCCCTTCCATCCGTCTATGCTTCTCTATCTCTCTCTTTCTCTCGCTTCCACTCGTTTTCACCATCTCTGCGTGTCTCTCGCTCTCCAACCGTGTGTCCCAGTTTCCGCAGCGTCGTGTTCTTCTTGTTGTCCCGTTCGCCCCTCCCCCTTCCCTCCCTTTCCTCCTCCCCCCTCGCTTCCTCCCCCGTCCCCCTCTTCTCCCTCCCCCTTGCCGGTCCCCTGCATTGGACCACCGCCTCTAATCGCTCACGTGATTTGCCTGCTGCCGTAGAAGTTGCAGACGACTTGTCAAACTTGCCGTGCCGGTGTGCGGGAGAGTATGGCAACTTTTACAGGATGCCTGCCTTGCCTGCGAAGTTGGTCCTGCCAGCCGTGCCCCCCTCCTCCTCATCCTCCCTTTTGCTCCTCTGCAAGCTCACTAGATTCCTGCTGCTAGCACCCCGCCCTTTCCCCCTCTAGTGCTAGGAACAAGATGTAGTACCCTGCTCGCCCCCCCCCTCCAGGCTCGTTCGGCATTATCCCCAATACAGATTTTTCGCGTCACATTTTACTTAAAATTATTTTCGTCTCTCCCTCTCTCTCTCGAAGGGAAATTAAATGGAGAAAATGAGGATTCCGTCGCGGGGCGGGGGCGGAGCTCCCATTCGTCTCCCGTTGGCTTAGCGTCTTATTGATTCTCGAGAGAGAAAGCGACCTCCGTGACATCGCCGTCATGTCTGGTGGAGATGAAGCAGTCTGTGCGGCTGGCTGGTGGGGTGGGCTCGCGTCGGGGCGGGGCGGGCGGGCGGACTTGCTACGCAGGGGAGCGTCGACGACAACAATAAAACATTTTTTCGCTCTCACCTCTTCCTTCCCCGCGCCATCTCTTGCAGAGAAAAGGAAAGGGGGGAAAATGTGAAGAAAAAAAAAAGTTTATGGATAAGCATAGAGTGCGTGGTGCATGCAGCGCTGGTCGCGCCTACTGAAGGGAGGAACTGAGTTACCGCCCGTAGGGACCCATGTACAGAGTCCGCCCGCCGAGGGGTGGTGCGGCAGGAAGAGAAAGGTTGGCGCTCTCGCATGCGTGCCGCCGCGTGCCTCCACGTGAATGTCACTTTTTCCGGGCTGCAGGTTGGCGCGTCCTGGCAGGACGGGGCCGCGCGCTGAAAGGCTGCGGGAGCAAGGAAAAAGGGGGCGGACGCAACCGCGACGGCAAAAAAAAAAAAAAAAAAAAAAAGAGAGAGAGAAACACAATACAACTTTGCCGTAGGTTTTCCATTTGCAAAAAAGATAAACAACCTAAATTAATGTTTTTTTTATCAATAATTGCGTAAGCAAATAACCTTTGGCGGTAGTACTGTACAGCTGCAGCAAGCCCGCTCGTACCCTTACTCATACTCTTTCCGAGTGACACGCTTGATTTACGCGAATAGTTTTCGGCCGCAGCTAATTATGTCGTCTTTCTCTCCCCCCCCTCTCCCTCTCTCTCTCTTACTCTACCCTTATTCTCCTCGCACTCCCTCTCTGCCTCCATCTCTTTCCTCCTCTCTTTGCTCCCACCCACGCCTTCCGTCTCGCATTGCGCATAATTTGCCGGAGAGACAAAGAATGTCTTTTCTTTAAGAGATAACAAGCTCCACAGCGCCAGGCTTGCCGACCTCCTCTCTCCCCTCTCTCTACTCTCTCCCCCTCTCCCTCTATCTTCTGGGTGCAAGTGAGACAGGGCGCTGCGGTGCGCCGTCTGGCCCCCGTCGCTTCGGACAGTCCAGTCTTCATTCTGGGGAGTCGAGGGCGAGGAGGGGGCGGCAGCGGGAAAGTTTCTCCGGCCGGAAAAAGAGAAAATCGCCATTTCAGGATATTCCTCGATAAAAACTTTAAAAATCTCAACGCCGAGCGGGCGTCACTGCTCCAAGAGCGGGGAACGGCCTGGCCTGGGTGCCACACTGCTGGCCGGGATAGGGATCAACACACAGCCAGCAGCAGTCGGGAAGGAAAAGTCCTGGAAATGTGGCCGTGCGGTGTCGGGGGTGTGCAGGGATCAATATGCTCTCTGGCTGCTGCTATGGGGACCAATCCCTGCTCCCTGTTCGCTCGTAAAGATGGTTGAACCGTTTAGAGCCCTGCGCGCCGGGGGGGACGGGAACAGAGAGGATGGGGAAAGGGGAGAAGGGGGGGGGGGGCGAGCCGGCTGTGTGCACTCCCCCGGGGACGATACAATGTCGCAGGAATAATGAAAACGCACGGTCCTTATGGGCGTGCCTCGCGGCGATAGTCGCAGCCGCAACGCCAGGGCCGCCCATGTGCACAGCATGTATGCCGCACGCAAAGCGACCTACTTGACGACCGTCGATGCAAAGCTTATAGCTTAAAAGTGTTATTTGCTTGACTCTCCAACTTCTTACCGCCAATTCTGATGGTTTATGCGTTTCGTTCGACCAATATTATACACATACACACACACACACACGCCACTCTGCTGACATCATGTCGTCCTCCTGTGTGCCGATGGATGGAGATGGATGCAGGGAGGCTGCTCCCCCATGTGCGCAGTGCGCTCGGCCACGCCACGCCACGCCCCGTCGTGGCAGTCAGCAGCGTAGCGACAGCGCCAGTGCCGCGACGAACGCATACACTCATTTCCATTCATATTCGCGACCGCAAGACGTGACGCGAATGCCAATCCAGAGCCGCGAATGCGCATGTGTGTTAGTGTGTGAGTGTGTGTGTGAGTGAGTGTGTGTGTGAGTGTTAGTGTGTGAGTTTGTGTGAGTGTTAGAGTGTGTATGAGTGTGTGTGTGTGCGTGCGCATGCGCGTGAGTGTGCAGCTGATGGCGCGAGATGCATCGAATGAGGTGCAACATTCTCGTACATTGGTGCCACCGACTTTTTACTCTTTTGCTTTTCCCGTGACTTCTTTCTCTCTACCAATCTCTCGCTCTCTTTCGCTCTCTCTCTCTCTCTCTTTCTCATCTCTCTCTCCCTCGCTCTTTCTCCCTTGCTCGCTCTCTCTCGCTCTCTCTCCCATTTGCAGCAGTGAGGGTAACCTTGGCAGCCGTGCCCCGCCCCGCCACAGTGCGGTCCATATCGACATCGTGCACGCGGCGGCCTAGCGCGGGGGTCAGAGTGAAGGAGACAGAGCCAAAGGGAGGGAGAGCGAGTGAGACAGAGACAGAGGGAGGGAGGGAG